GATAGATTTTTACAAATATTCAGGACAGACATTTTTTAACAAACTTAAAATCCTCGAATTAATCTGGTTTATATAATATAGCCTATATAGGCTAATTAATTTTAATATCAATATTAGGCTACGTTTAATTCAGCCAATAATATACTGCATTACAGATATAATTATTAATTTATATATAAATTATGATTATAATTTATTTTGCAAATATGCATTTGCAAATTAGGAAATTAACGAGCATGTTCAATATTCAAGATTTTTTTATTTATCACATACATGGTTATATAGAGAATATATGACCAGCAGTGAAATGTAAGTCAGGTCCGCTCCATGGACAGTGCAATTATTAAAGAATACAAAATTATATATAAATATAGGTATGGAAAAAGTAAGATATAAAAAAATAAGAATAAAATAAAATGCGCAGGACAGTGTACTGTAGACTTAATAAATATTAAGATGAGAAGGAATGTACAAGAGAAGAATGTGCAAACAGGTTGTACAGGGTAGTTACACAGCAGCAATAGAGGTAAAAAAGTAAATAAATAAAATATTACAGAAATTGCTGTGTGCAAGTGACAATGTCAGTATATTAAGTATCTTACTGATAATTAAGTGAAGTCATGTTGGTGTTGAGTCTATTGTAGCTCTCAGTGTTTAAGGCCCTGCCGCTCAGGCTTATCAGTGGTTGACTAAACAAAGTTATCAAGCGGATCGGCCTGTAAGCTAATATGTAACAACATTACACGATTCCTCCCACAGTAGCCTATACAATTAGGCCTGCCTTTCAGTTTAGCCTATGTGCTCAGTTCCAAAACTGACCTTAGGCTAAATAAGGCCTAGCCGTTCCGAATAAATAGCGCTAACCGTTCCAAATAATTTATTTTTTTTTTGTTTTCTACTACTATAATTTCTACACGTCCGTGTCCGATACGACTGTAATAATATGTGACCCGGAACCACAAAACCAGTCATAAGGGTCAATTTTTTGAAATTTAGATTTATACATCATCTGAAAGCTGAATAAATAAGCTTTCCATTGATGAATGGTTTGTTAGGATAGGGCAATATTTGGCCGAGATAGAACTATTTGAAAATACGGAATCGGAGGGTGAAAAAAAATCAAAATATTGAGAAACTCGCCTTTAAAGTTGTCCAAATTAAGTCATTAGCAATGCATATTAGCCTACTAATCAAAAATTAAGTTTGGATATATTTATGGTAGAAAATTTACAAAATATCTTCATGGAACATGATTAATATCCTAATGAGTTTAGCATAAAAGAAAAAACGGTAATTTTGACCCATGCAATGGCTATTGCTACAAATATACCCGTGCTACTTATGACTGGTTTTGTGGTCCAGGGTCACATATAGGCGTAAGTCAGTTGGTTGCATGTGCTATAGCCTACTGACCTGCCATATGCAGTCCTCTGCTTTTGATTGGTCCCGGACTGAGAGGGCTGCTGCCTGATCCGCGCTCCAGGGCCAGACCATAATCTGCTCGACACAACAGTTCCTCGTCCCGGACGGAGAACTCGTCCCCGGGCAAAAGCTGCCGGTTACACACCGAGCAGCGGAAACACTCGATGTGATACACACTGTCCCGAGCTCTCATGACCAAATCACTGCTGCTGAAGCCCAAAGTGCATTTTGCGCATTTTATACCGAACAATCTGTTGGATGTAGAATAGAAAAAGAATTTAATTTGTGCAGTGCCAAAACCAAGCAAGTTCAAGCATGCTTTTTAATTCCACTTTAATTTAATTTTACAGTCTGTTGCCAGATGTTTTGATCATTATAAATATGAAATACATATGCGGCCAGATTTATTAAAAATAATTCACACTTTTCCCGAAAGAAACCAAACAAACAAAAAACCTACCTTACATAATCTCTCTTGCAGTACGTTTTCCCGTCCCGTACGAAGCAAGTGCACTTCTCGTCCAGGTATTGGTTGCACTCCACGCATTTCAAACAGGCTGCATGCCACTCCAGGTCAGGGGAGACCCGCAGAATATACTGGTCATGGATCTGACTGCCGCAGCCTACACACATCGCAAGTCCGGACTTCTCTGAGCATGAAAAAGAACATTGTTTTGAGCTCTTATACAGGAGTTTGAGAGTCATGAATTTAGACTACAAGTATTTCATAAAAATTGAAATCATCGAGGTTTGTTGGCTAACTAACATTTGGGATAGTGAAAAGATCAAGACAGTCGGCTATTTCTCAGATGACAGATATACTGCAGAAGCAGTAGCAGAAAAAAACAGTAGGCCTAATCATTAACATAATCTTTTTTTTTTTTCAAATGCAACAAAATTGAATCACATTTAACCGCTTAATTTTAAACATGAAGTTAATTTTTGTAGGGCCTATAGTTTTTTTTTTCACAGAAATACATACTTTTGGAATGATCCCCCATATCATCCAAAAAAGAAGAGCTGAATATTATATCCACCATACAGGTTGCCTGAAGAGAAGATTGCTTGTTGAAACAGGAAGAGAGAAAAGGTAGTGTCCGCTCCCGGCTGCCCCGCAAACTCAGTCCAGAGTGAGGAGAGATGGAGAGGGGGGTAAACGCAGGAACAGGGGCTGAGAGAGAGCGAGAGAGAGAGATTGCTGTCTGCCGCACGAGACGTGACGTCAGGCGCAAATCCGAACTAAGACGCGTCAGTAGGGGGCAACAAGTCACAGTGCACCCAATATTGATTCGTTTCACTCCCTAGACATGATCGGGTAACTGTGCTTGTTGTTTCAGAAAAATATAAAAACATCTTAATTTGCTGCTGGAGATTATTAGACGTGGGGAAAAAAACGTTATTTATTCAGGGTGTTTCAGTGTAAGGTAGACTATGGTTCTTGTATTCACACCATACCTTTAGGAAATATGAGATCTATCATGTCAAGTGGCTCATTAGTATCGAAGTAGCCTACTATCAGGGTGACATATTGGTTGAAAAGCTAAACCCATAACCCCAACAATATCTTAGAGACCATTCATTTAAGAAAACAAATCTGAAAACAAGACTGTAGTATGCCTATTTTTTAAACAGATAGGCTAGATCAGTATAATAAATGGCAGTGATTATTTAATATCTAAATAGGCCTATATAAATCGTGTTCAGCAAACTGGACTGTGTCTAGATTCTGGAAAGCTTATTCTTGACGAAATTATGCCTACTGAATTCTGAAATCCAAAATCCCAGAGGCCTGTATTTAATTTTGTTTGCTGTTTTGAATTAAAATGTTTCATTTAACCATTTCTAATTTAGGCTAAATTCTTAAAATGAGATGAACTTATAGGCTATCTTATTGCTCATTTGATTGCCACAGTATACAATTTAACAATAAAAAGGTACAATTTAAGAAAAACTTGTATGCTTAAATATGGGAAAATGAATCTCTCATCCATACTTTGATTAGACACCGAGTGCAGTCACTAGCACAGTGATGATGAAAGAGTTCATATTATGGCCAATTGCCATCAGCAGCCTACAAATAGGCTAGAGCTAACTGGAGGAAGAAATAAAACGTTTTAGAACAATTTAATATTTTAACGTTATTGTAACCTTAAGCAGTGTTGACATTTCAAACTGTGTCATTCAAAACTATTTAAGTTTTTCAGACTTTAAAAGGAGAATATGAGAACAGGACATATTGCAACGACGTGATAATTCAGTTCTGTCACATAAAGGATGAACAACATTTTTTTTTTTTGTTATTCATAAGAATTTAAAATTGTAATAGGCCTATACTTTATCATCTCTGCTTAATAATGAACCCTGGCTCCCATCTATCACCAACAATTCGTCACTGCTATGCTTCCAGATAGGCTAGCTGTATGAAACTGTATAACATTTAATGGTCGAATGTACTTTGCATTCTGATGAAAAATATAACGGAAAAAAAGGACAATTTCTGCCCTGCTTGAAAACCGGCTATAGGCCTACTGCACATGCATTAGCTCGTCAAGACGAACTTTCGTGACGTCTTCCTCCACTTGTACAACAACCTCAATCTCTAAAACCCAAGGGAATAGCCGCGATGTACAGTAATAGTTATACTGACATCCAGCGCTCGAACTGAAGGGTGACTTCTTGGGGCGCTCCGGAGACCAAGCACGTGAGTTCCGTCCTTTTAAAACGATCAGAAAATAACTGTCTTTTGCGATGTGACATTGCTATTATTAAGCATATTAAAGCATTGTTGAAAACAGTAGGGGTTTGCGGCAGTTTTAAGAGATTGAGACCTCTCATTGAAAATGCATTGTGTCCTATAGTGCCACATCCCTTCTCATTTCAGTAACTGTCTGACTTCCACGAGACAGTCTTCACACCTGCCAGCTGTGATGCGTCCATTAATTCGAGAGATTAATATAGGCCTATGCGGAAAAAAAGAAGAAATATGAGAAGGGTCTGGCTGCAGACTTGCACTTGCACTCTCAGACTTGCGCTCTCAGACACTTGCGCTTCCGCAATTGACATCACTTGCTGTCTTTTTTATTTTTTATTTTGTTCTATTTATTGATTACTTTTTGTTTGAATCTCTCAACATTTTACAACAGTAGCCAGGTGGTGAAGACAAGACAAAA